TGTCACAAGCAGGCTTGAGCAGAACCACTTTTCAAAGTGCTTATTCAAAAGTTCTGAATCTAAGGAGGGATATACATAATAACTTTATGCTAATCTTTTCCCGTGAATTAAAGAAAAGGTTAGGTGGGGGGAGGTGTGGTTGTTTTTTTTGTTTTTTTTTTTTTTTTGTGGTTGGACTCGATGATCTCTGAGGTCCCTTCCAACCACTACAATTCTGTGATTCTGTGAAATGGTAGCACAGAGGTAAAAAAAGTGGAGTAGAATCAGTGATGGACTTTACAAGTTGCTGGCTACTGGGCACAATGGTGGGAAGTGCTAGGACTTAAGCAACATATACTGGCTAAAGAAGGGCAGGTAAGCCAGGGCTGAGCTTGGAGTGTTGTCTTTGTGTCGGCTGCTTTACAACCCAGAGGGGAGGGAGAGGGAAGGATGGACATCCAGCTCCCTCAGACCTCACTTCAGGAGGTTTTGCTGCATCTCCCCAGTGCTGCCTTCAGCTGGCCGGGTGCTGGCCAGTGAGAGCCCATAGCCCAGCCTGGGAAAGGGAGGTCTGTGTCTCCTGGGCAGGCTTCGGGGCTGCTCCTTTGGTCCTCTATTTGCCTTTCTGCTGTGGGTGTGAGAGCTGCAGTGATTCTCTAACATGGTTCAATCCTTCCTCCCTGCGGTACCCGCTTCCAACTGGGGGCTGCTGGAACATTGATGCATCGGGTACTGAAATCCTTTAATAGATGATGCCAGGAAAATGCAAAGCAATGCCCATGATAAGTAAAGTTTAGATGGGCTTGAAAAGGAATGTCTGTCTGCAACAGGACCATCCTTCACTCACTATATATTTTGATAAGGAGTCTGAAGCTGTTTTTCTTATCACTCAGTTCTCTGATGCACAGTGTGTGCATCCTCTTCCATCATGGTGTGTGGGGATACGTGAAGGAGTCTTAGAGAAACAAGTGGATTTGGCTTCTAAGCCAAAGCTTGTAAGGTCTGAATAGGTATAATATGAACTCATTTTAATGGTGTATCTGATGTTTAAACTCTCTGCTGTTTAAAATCCTACAGAAGGAGACAAACATGCCTGTTGGTCCTGTCAGTTATTTTATAAATTAAAGTGTGGCTGTTAGCCAGGAGAACTGTAAGCAAAGCTATGTGAAAATCTGCAGTAAAAAGAAAAATATATTTTTCTACTCCTGCTTTGAAGCTTTTCTTTATTTTACAAAAACAAAAGGTGCACTTTGAGGCAGAACAAGACCTTTTTACATAAATATCTACCTTGTGGTGGTGACGTCTAGCATTCTAACTTGCATGATATTTCTTAGAGACACATCTTTTGTGCTTCCTTCTTGAAAAGCTGTGTATGCCCCCACCAGATTAAGGCTATATCAATGTTTTGACATTTGAGGCAAAGTATTGTGGATGAATCTTTACCAAAATAGCTGAGTTACACCTGTAAAATTGCCAAAGACTTTGGCATGAAGAAATCATGTAGCCCTGCTTCATTTCTGAATTGCTTATTTAAAATGAAAACTTAAATTTTCACTAATGAAGGAAACTCCTAGTCAAGAAGGCATTAATTTAACTCAGAGGCAAAATAGTAAAAAAAAAGTTAAAAGTAGCTTTGCTATAATAAAAATGTAAGTCTT